TCTACCTCGTCACAGAGACGTTCTTTTTTGTTAGAATGGTTCCAGCTTTGCAAGAATTATAAACATATGAAGAAAATTCCTGTGAGGATGTGAGTTTTTATCATACATAGATCTTACAGATCAGCGATACCATAGATTTAACGTCAAATACCACAGATTCGACCAAAAACGCTTGTAAAATCCCAATTGAAAAATCACTATGGGAGCATTACTTTTCCTTAAAGGCACAACCCAGGCAGAGGTTTTGTATAACTCTTCTCTTCGGTCAGAAGTATAGAACCCTAGGGGACAATCACAAATGTGGCGTTCACGTGCACGGAAACGACCGACAAGAGCGCTTGGGCCTTGCAAAGTAAGCTGCTCGAAGCTGCAGCGAACGAGCTCTCTATCAGGCTGTTGTCTGGCGCTCTCTCATCTGTGCGCTCTCTCGCCTCATACTCTCCTCTCCGCGCTTAGTCTCTCATTCCCTTAGCACAGCCGATTAGGAAGGTGAGTGAGCCCTTAACCTGAGCGTTTTCGACGGATTCTTTTCCTTTTTTCTTCACTGCCGGCCCACTTGGCACCATACATTCACATTCGTGTGCAAGAGCCACACCAGTGCGATCCTGGGGCATGCCTTTAAAAGAAGATACGTTTCAATAGGAACAAGAGGTGCCATATAATAAAGGGGGAGGGACTTGTAGTGAGACAGTTGATAGCGCCTTAGGCATTCCGATGTTTCCTAATAGGAAGCTCCGGGATGTGTGTAGAAGTGAAAGTGAAATGACTCACGTACTCCGGGGATTTCCTTCTCGTGCGAAAATTAGAATTTCTGAGGAGCGGCAGCAACTCTGAAAGCGCAAGGTACTCTGGAAAAGCATCGTGTTGGAGGCGTTAAGCTTGATAAATTAAAAGGTGCTTATTTCAAATGGAACTACAAAATCGACCTGGGAGCTTGGCTGCAGAACAGGCTATTTACGACCTTTATAGTATAAGGATAAGGATAAGGATAAAGCATTTGCCGTTGATCAATCCCTTTTGGGATGCGGCACGCATTCTACTTCCATTTGTACATTCGTAGTGGCGTTTGAATGCGATGTGGCCTATACAATGACTTGCGGGGGCCAGCCGATGCAAGTCAGTTTTTTATCCTCCCAGACAAGTCTGGTACCAATTAACCGACCCCGGAGGGATGGAAGGCTTGGTTGGCCCGGGCGACTCACGACCCAGGATTTGATCCCCGGACCGCTCGCGTGGTAAGCGCGCCACTTGTCCACTACACCACTTCCGCCCTTTACAGTATAGATATCCGAAATCAACATGCCGCATGAAAAGACGGATGCGCGACAATATTCATTTTTTGCCGCTTGCTTCAGTTTGCTCCTACTACAGTGAAATAAACATGTTCTCGATCACATGTTGAAAGGATGATAGTCACAAATCAGACTTAAGGGCACAACAAGGAAGAAGTGGCGTTAACGATTTCATTCTGTCTGTATGATAGAAGCCTAAAGGGCACGCACAGATGTGGAATTCTACTGCATGAAACTTGCCCGGCAACCGCGATAAGGCATTGCAAAGTTAGCTGCAATAGCAGTGGCGTTCGCATCCGGCTGTTGTCTGACGCCCTCTCACCTGCTGCGCTCTCTCGCGTCATACTCTCTTCTCCACGGCCGATCTTTCACTGCCAGCAGGGCCGCTTTATAAATCTGAGCGAGCCCTTAATCAAAGCTTTTCCTACAACTCGTTTCCATAAACTAACACTACGGAACGTAAAGGTGCTTCCTACACCTCCTACCTATTCTCATGACCCTCCTATTTGACTACTACTTTTTTCCTAGCACCACCCCTTGAATCCTAGAATTTTCCATGCTAGGGAGAGCTTCGATAGGACTGTAGCATATAGCGAGGAGCCGGTTACCGTCGAAAGGTGTCAGGGCGTTATACACACCCTATTCTCAACCATATCCCATTTATCACCTGCCTAAACAGCCGCTTTCGTGTGCGCTCTGAAGTGCCTGTCGAAGCCACTCCGCTTAGCACGCCACGATGAAATACGAAAGAAGTCTGTCATAAAAAGGACAAAAATGGATAGGTGGCGATTGAGGGATGAAGTCGCAACACCCGCTGATACTGTAGAACAGCCAGGATGAGCTGCTAAAAAACGAAATATGGGCCGGCTGGCAACGGCAATTTAACGAAACAGGGCATTCAATAGTGGTGTTCCATATCAGATCTAAAAATTAGGTTTTCCAAGAAACACATCTCAACTGTTTGAGCATACTAGCTATGCCGTGCTGCGCACACTTCCCCATTGGTGATGCCTGAAGCTTCTTTCTTCGCAACATCTCGCTTAGATTGAAGTAACTGTAGGGAACACATAATCATTAACAGTTAACCTTCTTCTGGTCATGGCTTCGTCTTCGGTTTCATGACAAAAAGACACACTATACGGATGAAATGCGTTTCGCTCATCTGTTTGTTGCAATCAGTCACAGTTTTGTCAGTAGGCCATTTCAAAAGACTCTCGAAATGCAGTGAAGCCGCTTTCCAGCGGCGTTGATGGGGTCGATCTTTTGATGCTACGAACAGATTTCGCAACAATTGTACGACCTAAAGACATGTTTCAGAACAGGTTGCTGTGAAAGAGCGCTGAATAATAGAGGTGTAGTGGGCGGAAGAAGTGAAAAAGGACTCCAAGGAAGCCTTGAAAAACATAAAATTGCAGGTTTGAAAGTTTCTGTGGTCAGCCGTGGTACTACGAAGAAACACTGTGCGCATAAAAGCTATTATACGCGAAAGAGCACGCCATGCGAATACGGCCGTTGCATAGCGTTAGGCTTCCACTCACGGACATTCGGGTCCTAAATGCCGCTTCTAGAGCTGTAGCGTACTTCCGAGCAGTGTGGATGCCGAGTCGATGGCCTCCGCGAACATATTCTTGCTATAACTTGGAGTTCATCAATCAAAAGGCCCGAGATCGGATCGCAGGAGTAGCCACCGCGGCGAGTATGACAGGGGTGCATACTTCAGAGTGAGTCATTTGGAGTGGCCCGTAACCATTTCCACTTCACACACGTGTAAAAAATCTTTAAAACTACATTTTTCGATGATCGGCACAGCCACCTCCAGTGAAGACGAATGTTGTTGACTGCCTCAATATCAGAGTAGTATGGAGCATCAAATAAAATAGGTTGAGAAGGTGTTTTGTCTCGGATGAGGTTTTTTTTTACTGCACTCTATTCACCTCTGTTGTAAGGCTGCAAAGCGAAGTCTACCGAGCTCATTTCCAGATCGCTTTTTCGTGCAAAATTCTAGGTGTTGCCACGATTTGACGCGGCGATTACACCAGGTCCGCCAAGCTCCTATGTAAGCTTGGCGGACCTGGTGTACCTACCGGCGCGGTCCGCCTATCAAGTCCTCCATCCCTCTGGGTCGGTGAATTAGTATCTGAGCTGTCTAAAGAATTTTGATTTGTACAACCCCCGCGTCATTGTATAGGCCACATCGCATTCAAACGCCACTACGAATGTACAAATGGAAGTAGAATGCGTGCCGCATCCCAAAAAGGGATTGATCAACGGCAAATGCTTTATCCTTTGCTTTCAATGTTTAAGCTCCTGATTTCCACTTGGAACGACAGTAAACGACACGGACGACAGTAGAAAACTACTAATCTAAGTCGCAATCAGAAGTGGTGATTAAAGGCTTTTAGAAAGAATCAAGGAGTGAGACAACCGCGCATTGACTCTAGATCAGAACACGAGCCTTCTCTAATTTATTTGAGAGGTTAAGAGCAATAAGAGCAAGAAAAACGCACAAACAACTAGAAAAAAAGACAGGTTGCAGAAAGCAGGTGGGACTATGCGATTGAAGCCGCGTTCTTTACCTCCTACTTAGCGGAGTAGATCAGGAGAGGAAAGATAATGGGTCCCTAGGAGGCGCAGATGCCACGTTCGCCACGTTGACCCTCCAATGAAAAAGTCCTTCGGAGTATTTTTTACTGAAAGGGTCAACGTGGCGTCTGCGTCTCCTCAACCTATGCTCTTTCTTTTCTCTGCCTAACTACAAATTAGCTTCAGAGGTTATTCCTCTGAGTCTCACTTAAAATGGGTTTCGGTCTTGATTTTGCCATGAGGTTGGCGTGAGTTAATCTACTGATAAGCGCTGTAGACCTGTTGGTAATCTATGACTCTTACCTGAGCTAATCCCGAGTCGTTAAAGGCACAACCCAGGCAGAGGTCGTGTGAACTCTTCTCTTCGGTCAGAAGTATAGAACCCTAGGGGACAATCACAAATGTGGCGTTCACGTGCACGGAAATTCGACCGACAAGAACGCTTTGGGCTTGCAAAGTAAGCTGCTCGAGCTGCAGCGAACGAGCTCTCTTATCAGGCCGTTGTCTGGTGCTCTCTCATCTGATGCGCTCTCTCGCCCCATACTCTCCTCTTCGCGCTTAGTCTCTCGTTCCTTTAGCACAGCCAATTAGGAAGGTGAGTGAGCCCTCAACCTGAGCGTTTTCGACGGATTCTTTTCCTTTTTTCTTCACTGCCGGCCCACTTGGCACCGATACATTCACATTCGTGTGCAAGAGCCACACCAGTGCGATCCTGGGGCATGCCTTTAACTCGGATAAGGAAGGTTTGCTACCGTTCTAGATTGTCATTGCATCCAGTTCGTCTTCCAAAATAAATCTTCCACTTTGAACTCCACTTCACCCTCAATTGAAAAGTACACCTTGGAAGGGCAGGGGACGCGCTGGAATTTGGTAATTTGGGTTGAGTGTTTTTAGGGTGGTTACCGCGATTGTCTTCGATAACTCTGAAGGGGCTTGTTAATGAGTTTACTGGAAAGTTTGAAATTGCGGTGCACTCTTCTTCCAACTCAGCACAAATCTTCTCGGAATGTATTTGACAAGCGAGTTGAAAAAAATATTCCAGCATTGTCTGGCTCACTTCCAATTCCGCCAAGGTCTTCCAAGCGTTCCAAAATGAATTCATAGGCTCACTCGCGTTCCCTCCGCGTTCCAAAACCTCGGGCTTGGATTCCAAACGGATGCCCACTGCGAGGCGCACTTAATTCAAGGCTCGTAGGTACCGAACCCCCTGCTTATCCTTCGAGATGCATAGACGTTCATGCTATGATGTTTTATGGCATATTGTTCCCTGTTACGCTATTTCTCCGCTTCTTCTGATGCGATGGGCGCCAGCATTATTCCAGTAAGTTTGACACGCATCACTTTCCGGATTCTGTTCCTGTTCCTGCCGCCGCTTGTGCAGACTGGGATTCCAGCCACTTTGGTGTATTGCATTACATCGAAATCAGTCAATGGCTCATACTGTTCGTATGAAATCGGCCTTTGCAGACTATCCAGTCAAAGTTTCAGCAAAAACGCTTCTGCCTCGTTTAGCTAGTTACATTTATGAAAAGTTTCTAGAGCTGCTTAATGGGGCACGTTCCAAGGCAGAGTGTTCTTGAACACCAATCCTGCCAAGTTTCGATCTCTGAAAATGACTAGCAGAGAGCCTAGTAACAGGAATTCCCTTGTACGAGTGCGATTTGAGAACACTGAAAATTCAGCAGTCCACGTGAGCGTCATCGTAGGTTTAGAATTTTACAAGGAGGGTCTTTCAGGTCATGGAGCGCTTTTCCGAAATGGTTTCTTGCATGTTGTAGAGGCTCATGCGAGGAACACAAAACCATGGTCCATTTTCCTGAACGCTTCTGGGAACCTCAAAACAGTGGTGAAGAAATGGTCCAAAGTTCCCGCCGTGGTGACAAATTTTTGCAATCCATGTTGGAGCCTCCAAATTGTCGCCAAATTACGAGGATGACATGTTAATCGACGCTGGTGCCATTTGGACACAATTTGGAGGCGCCAACATAAATTGCAAAAATTAGACATCACGGAGGATCGAACTTTGGACCATCTCTTCTCCACTATTCTGACCTTCCTAGAAGCGTTCAGGAAAAACGGACCATGGTTTTGTGTTCCTCGAGTCTCTACAAAGTGCAGGAAATCATTTTGGAAAAGCGCTTTGTCCTGAAAGACCTCCCTTGGTTAGCTTTACTGGTTGCCTCGGTCATAACTGGTAAGACTGCGGAAGGAGAAAATCCATTTACTTGTAAGCGATCACAAATGGCATAGCATCTCATAGAAGCATGTTCTCTCGTATCACTTACAAACAAGTTCGAAAACGCCAGAAAGCCTCATGGTTGGCCATGCATACAGGAAGATTTGCCGAATGAGGGCTGTTCGATAAAGAAACGTGACAGTTTTTTTTCTCACGTGTCGTGTTTTCTTTTCTTTTGCCAAGGGCTGTTTCGTCGTAATGGAATTGGTGTGAGATTGGCGATTTTGTTCGTTTGAATGAAATGAGTTTTTTGCGCTGACGAATGCGAGTCGAGGGGGCGGGATGGCGAATATATAGCCGTGCGAGGCACGGAGGTTCACAGCCACGGGCCGTCTCCTAAGACGGTCGCTACACGTTTCCTTTCACCGTAGCTGCTGCTGCACCTGGCG